GTCATCCCCAAAGCACAGCTGGTTAAAGCCCGCTCAGCCTGTCCCCTGCGCCAGCAAGAGCAGGGATTTCTTGTAAGCAAGGGAGGCTATGTGTAGGGTGAGGTAGCAGATAGGATCGCCCTCCGTTTTCCTGAGAAAAGAAGCTGTGGTGGTTTGGGGAACGGGCTCCATTCGTGGGAGGCATTTATGAGCTCAGAATTACTGTCTGTAATTACATTCATGATAATGACATTCAGTTGCTTAAGGGCAGGTTTATTGGTTGGGGCTCTGCTGGGAAATCTGGGGACTGAGACGCCCTGGCTGGGTCATGGGAAAACTCAAGAGAGGTTTGTTTAAGGAGGATCCTCCTGGGATCAGAGGGCACATGTAATTCCTACGCCATTCCCAAGGAGGGATGAGAGGGGCTCCTTAAATTCTGCCTGGGAGGCTGTGAACTGTCACCTCCACTTTTGCTTGGCAGTGATGGTTTTCAGGGATTTTCTGCTATTTCTTTTTTTTCTTTTCCTGCTTTTTCTATGTCTAATGTCCATATCCTTCCATTCCCCCAAACTCAAACCAATGAGATATTCTTTTTAGAGGGATTAAAAAATCTCAAAATATTAAATTTTCAAACGTTGGTGAGTATCAGAGTCACGTGAGACGGTATTAAAGGCAGAAAGACCAGGCTTCCTGAAGCCGGATGGGGCCAGGGCATTTGTATATTGAGCAAGTTCTCCAGGTGTTTCTGATACCCAGTGGAGTTTGAGATCCACCCGGTTAAGAAAATCTAAGGTTAGAAAACAAATTATTGACATGTTTCAGGTAAGAGTGCAATCTCCTTCTCAGACTCTGTTTTACCCAGCCTTGGACTAAATTTGCATTATAATTAAAACTTTCATCAATTGTTTTAGAATCTACTGCGTGAGGCATTAGAAGTCAGCTGTTAATTGGATTGTTATCTTGTTGATTGCAGGCATGGATGTAAGTAAGTATTCATTCAAAAAGCCTGTTGCTCTGAGGATTCTATGGGACACAAATGTGCACAGTAGTAGAAATACATTTTTATTTCTAAAGGAAGATTCTGGAGATGATCATATCTTCTGTCACATGAAGTATGGGTCTTTCAAGGATCTCAGCTAACATGTGGCTTTTAATATTTCATATTCTAGACATCAAGACGATTCATCAATTTAATTTGTCAGTTATGATGCAAACGAATAATTAAGTAGAATCAAAGGAAATGACGTGTGAACTGTTACTAAAATAACCAGACACACACTGGTCTGTGTGTCTCCAGGGAGTTTAGATTTGAATGACTGAGTCTGCGTTCAATGACCATAATTCTAGCAATTGACTGACCTAAATGGTTCTTTTGCAAAAAGAAACAAACATAAATCCCATGAACGTGACTACCTATATCTCATCTCTGGAAATTTCCTTAAAGATGATAAAAACCAAATCCATCCAGCAGAAAAGGGAGAATGATATGAACAGACTCAAATATTTCAGGACACAAAAGCAAGCTGATACCTTAGAAAAGTGGAAGGCAAAAGAAATAGGATTATAATAAAGTGTTCAGAAAGGGTGAGTGGAGCAGGCTGGGATGTCATGGCACCAACTATGAGTGTTTAGTTTGCATTAAAAGACCATCAAGATGAGGCACTGGGTCCCCACACCATATTTTGCATTTGGGGATGTATATATAATGTGCTTTGCAAACCCAGGGACTGGGTAGAATTATCACTATAGAGCATCGGCCTGCTAAGTAGGCTGTCTCTCATTTCCATTTAAATACTTGCTTCATCGAAATGTAGTTGATTTACAAGGTTGTATTAGTTTCTGGAGTACAGCGCTGTGATTCAGTTATATGTGTATGTATAAATAGATACATATTCCTTTTCATTACAGATTACCGTAAGCCACTGAATATAGTTCCCTGTGCTCTACAGTAGGACCCTGCTGTTTATGTATTTTGTATTTAGTTGTTTGTACTTGCTAATCCCAAACACCTAATTTATCCCTCCCCCACTGCTTTCCCCCTTGGTAACCACAAGTTTGTTTTCTATGTCTGTGAGTCTCTTTCTGTTTTGTAAATAAGTTTGTTTGAGTCATTTTTTAAAGAGATTCCAAATCATCTCTACCTTCAATTTAAAAAGAATGGGGAAAGTAAATAAATTAAGAAATAAATCCTTATAGCAAAACAAAAAACTGAAACAAACAGAAAAAACCACCTCCTGTCCCATAAGTTTCACCTTGTTGAATTCTCAGACTATGTACACATCAGCTGATTTACTCGTGGGGTCACGTAAAGCAGGAGACTAATATTTGCCTGAGCACCCACTGTGGGCCAGGTACAGAGCTGGACGCTCGGACTCATCTTCATAGCGTCCCTGGAAGTACACAGAGCTATGCTGCTTGAGGGACAAGGAAACTGGAAGTCAGAGAAGCACCTTCATCTGCTCTTTCATGCCTTTTGTACGGTTACCTGATACGTTCTCATTGTTTGCCTTAGTTGGATGAGTTGCCACAGATCTATTAATAGCTATCATTTGATTACTACCTTGAAAGCTCTTTATAAACGATGTTTATCATCTTGTTCAGTTTTTCCAATTGACTCATTTACGTTCACAGCTGGCCTCCCGGCTTTCACTCTCCACCACCTACAACCTCCTGTCCACTCAGCAGCCAGAGTGAGCCTTCAAAGATACACATCAGAGCCGATTTCTCTGCTGCTTAAAGTCTTCTGGTGACTTCCC